CCTGGCTTTCATGCCTAAGGCAGGACTAGAACTCCCAGTCTCCTGGTTTTTAGTCCAGGACCTCAATCACTAGATCAAATAGGTTCTCGGAAGGTGAATCCCTTTCTTAGTGCCTCAATTTTTTTTTTTTGTCTGCTTATCCCGGGTTGCTTTCCCTGCAGGAGAAGGTGGGCAGCTGGGCAGTGCAACAGGAAAAAGAGAAACGGTTACTCCAGCGTCCCGGGGCCGAACGCCTTTTCCCCAGCACCGAGAGGGGAAATAAGTATGCCGTGCTGGTGGAAGGCCACCTCAATAACTCTGGCACTGGGCAAACAAGCGAATTGACCCTCACGTGGGATCGCACCGGCGTGCCAGGGGGCAGCGTGAGTATCTCAGCCGGGGCGTGGCACGAGCCCTTATGAGACGTGCGAGGAAGCCGCCTGCGGGGGAAGGCTACATTTATTTGATCTATACCGCCGCCCATCTCACATACAAAACTCCGCGTGGCTTACAGTAAAATAGATAAATCAAATCTCTCTCTATAAAAGCGAAATGCCACTCACGCATCATCACAAAATCTCCGGGACCGTAAAGCCTACAAACTTGAAATTTGGCACATATATTCCCCTTAGCGCTCTCTAAGAAAGGATTTTTCGAAATGGCCATCAGAGCATTAGTATTTCCTATATTATTATTATTATTAACATGCTCTGATGCTAAGGAGTTCTACTCCCCCTCCCCACCTGAAAAGAAATCTCTTCCAAATGCAAAACGCAAGCAGAGGAGTTTCAGTTCCAGTTTCAGTTTCACAGCACCAAGCAGCTTTAGGACAGAACAGTTGAGCTAAGCTACGCCCAGGCTCCTTGCTGTCTCCTTGCTCACACAGCAAATACTCTTTCAGTTTCCAAACAGCCCTCGACTCTCTCACACACTGACAGGATGCTAGCCAGATGAATACCGATGGATGCTGGTAGGCAGAGGCAGAATTTTTCCCCTCTTATTTTCCTCCCCCAAAACTAAGCCTGACCACATAGTTTCGTAGCAAAACACGGGTATCCAGCTAGTACATAATATAAAATACAATCCTTTCTTAGCCGAGCATCACTGAAGACCACACATCCACCTCCCTGGGGCTGAATACAAAGCAATGTCTTTAGGGCCTTGCAAAGAGCCAGCTGGGTGGGGAGGGAGGGAAGGAAGGAAAGAATAGAAGGGGAGGGGGAAGAGGATAGAGAAGGAAGAAGGAAAAGAAAGGGAGGGAGGGAAGGAA